GAGGGTTGAAATGTGAGTCTCGTTTTGTACGAGTGGAAGTCAGATTCAGGTCAGTTTCATCGATTACCCGGAGGGAGGAAAAATACCGTGACTAATATTTTCTTTAATCAGCATGACAGACGATAAAATATGGTAATTTTTTACATCACGTGCAAGTACGGGAAAATAAATAATAATGTTGACTGTGGGCACGACATTTGTTATCGGCAGGGTCCATTTCGCTGATAACCATTTTTACGTAATAATTTAATTGAATATATACATAATAATGATTATAAAGATGATGCCTTTTCTAGGCAGTCGGGGTGGAATGATGGGTGTAGCCTTTTTGATATCATCGATCGACATTTGTTGACTTGTTTGCTGTGTTTTAATAATCAACTTAATGGTGATCTCCGTAAAACGTTTTGTCGCGTAAGAAAGACAGATCACTTGTATTTTATTGTCAACTACGCGCCGTTAAAATGGATTTATAAGACCCAAATAACTCGGATTAACACGAGGATTGAGAAATATCAAAGATCTAATATTGGATAAAGGGTTGAGGTGAGTAGTTTTACTATTTTTAGACGATTCGACAAAGAAAACTTCTTTATTTATAGGACATTTCACCGATTTGGCAGCATCTCCTGATTCTGTAAATTGAATTCTTACATGGGTCATATTCCAAAAAGGCATCAGAGCCAAAACACACTATTTTAAAATAAAACTTAAAAAACGGAACAACAAACTTGATACTGATCGTTATAACCGAGTGATGATAAAAATACACAAATTTACATTGTATAAAAAAGAGATTTAAAGGTCGTATGTTAGTCCACTCCTCGAATAGACGATTAGACAAATAGCAAAACTAGAAAATGTCGTGTTGATCCTTTACACTTGCGGAATACTCGACTCGTTTTTTATTCTAGACGGGCGTAATGTACGGGATGAACGCATTTACGTTCCCAGGTATGCGAGACGGGTCGAATTTAATGTTCGCTTTCAAATAAAACATCAAATAAAGTAAACAACTTATACATAATGCCGTTGCTGATGCTAGTATGGCAAATTTAGTCGAAATGGGCGGGTGAATTGGCAGTACTGTATAGGATAACCGGATGGAGGTTATATTTCTAATCTCCAATGGACGTGACATTTGTTAACTTTATCAAACAATAATTAACTATACTAAACTTGAATAACTATATGGAAGTTACAATTCCGAATTAGAACGGGCATGTTGTAGTTCTCCTTCCAATCTCAACACATAATTTACCATTACAGTTAATTGTTATTTCATATTTCATCTACGTTTTTGGTTGAGATAAAAAAAGTCAGCGTCACGAGCAGGATTCGAACCCAAGACCTTCGGCTAAATACGCCGCTACTCTACCACTTGAGCTATCGTGACTTCGATCCGCTCGGACGCTAACTTCCCATCTCAACCTCACCTCTCGAATTTTCCCTCCTTTTTGCCATTTTTCAAATGTCATGTAATCTATTTGATTCTCGGCAACAAATGAAATGGCCAAGGAGAGCTTTCGTGAAGATATACATCAGTTTAATTATTAAATCCATTACAGTTCGTAGTCCGATTGACCAATTAACATTTTTCAATTGATTAATATTTATGAAAGGTATACCAAACCTATTTTTGGTATGCAAAATATGAATAAACCTAAACACATTAAAATTTAAGGTTGATGCGTTTATTTTGACCATCAGTGTAATAACAAACTAGAATTAGAAAATTGAAATCTGAACCTTCTCAATGTTCAGCGAACAGAACTTTGATCAAAATTGACCAAATACTATGGGTTATAATATCGGGGGTCCTTATTGAAAGAATAAAAATAATATAAATTTTAATTTCTTTGTTCGAGGATTCATCTAATAAGATTTAATTCACTTCGGAATTATAACCTCTAGATTGTTATCCTAGGTTAGGGTAACAAAATGGACGTTACGAATTAGCCATGACTATTAAAATTTTGTATTAAAAATCATGGATAAAGAAGATTTGAAAGAATCGTAACCTCCAGCTGGTTATCCTAATCATCCTAATGTAAGTTTCACTATCAACTTATGAATACACTATGTTTGTAACGCTGACGCATTAGAAAAGGTTATGTTCATACCACAGTCTTAATAAAAATATAAATCAAATCCTAAATTAATCTTAAAAAGGACTTTTGAGCACTTATGACATATGACACTTATGATGCCTATGATATGATAAACAACCTGCCCAAAATAATAAATAATTCGATTTCCATTTTCTTAGATATAATTCCTTTTAATAAAATAATAAAGTGAATAAATAAATAGTAATAAATATCAAAAGGACCAAGGCTGTAGAAGAAGACGGAGAAAGAGGAATGGGAATGGAAGGCCGGATAAATTGGGACAAGGTAAAGAGCACGATTTTCAGTTATAGTTCGGAGACCTATGCCGCTATTGTTAGACTCGTCGTTTCATTCAAATTACAAACTTTCTTTTTCATGCTTGATTTCTATTTATAATTTATTAGGACACAATGAAGTGATGAAAAGTTACCTACAAGCATTTTATACTTCAAGGTTATTATTTAAAATTCGTCCGTTTTAAGTCTGTGGTGTGATATATTACGATTTGGTTCGGTTTGTAACAGACACAACAACACAGCTACCCAGCATAGGCAAAATTTCAAATAAACAATATTTATCATTCGATTGTTGATGCTCTAATATTTTAAAAGGGGATGACCGGGTTGATGTGTCACGGATGTGGATCAAACTTTTTTTGGTGATACTACACTCCAAAATATCGGCCACGTATCCGCCTCTTCTTGGGCTTATCTTCCTTTAAAGGCTCCGGTTTCGCAAAAAAATTTGGAATTTTTATTTCGCCATTTTAATTACTAAAATCAACTATGTAGATATATCAATTTACAGAACATTTTAAGTAGATTGCACTAAAAATCTAGTAAAAGATTTCAGAGTTTAGCAATAAAAAAACAAAATCAAATATTTTTCAAGTAAGCTAGGTCATACATTTTTTTCTCATAAAACTAGTATGAAAATTCGTTTTAGCATCTCTAGAAACCCCTACATATAAATTTTTTGAATTTAAATTTGCCGATTTGTTGACCCCTAAAATGTTTCCGATTTTTCAGAAATCGTTATTGGAATATCTGATTAAAAGGGCTATTATTCAAAAACGGCTCAAAGGATTTTAACATAAGACATACCATTAGAAAAGAGAGAAAAGTAGCTTTTTAACGGCATATGTACCATTAAAATATATAACATATTTCTATAAGAAAATACACAAAATTATTTGGCAGAAATTAACCTCGGGGTTGTTTTATGGAAATAATAGTTCGATTTTAATGATTCATACAGTTATAAAATGCACTTGACAATTTCTCTAAAACGAATAATCAACCATGAAAATCGGTCTCCTAGGTTTTGAGAAAAATGATGTTAGAGCTTGCACTAGGAATGTCAGTTATGCAGTCGAAATTATCATTCAAAAAATTAAATTAGACCATTTTCCGCGAAAGTCTGTATCTAACGGTCTTATAACGCTAGAATCCCGACAAGGACAAATCCAAGTTGTGACCAATTTCTGAAGAATTCCGCATGAATATTTTTTCACTGTTGGATATGTATATTCTATAAATTCTCAAAAACGGAAAAATTTTAGTGGTCAAAAATCTATAAATTTAAATTTAAACAAAAATTTATATTTAGGGGTGTCTAGAGGTGCTAAAACAAAATTTCATATTAGTTTCATGGGAAAAAAATTTATGACCTGGTTTACTAGAAAAATATTTGGTTTTTACATTTTTTGGCTATTGATAAACTCTGATAACTTATAATATAGTTTTATTGCAATCTGCCTGCAGTAAAATGTTATATTCGCATAGTTAATTTGAGCGAGTAGAACGGCGAAATAAAAATATTAAACCACGGAAAATTTCAACTTTAAATTTTTTTGGCGAAATGAGGGCCTATTCACCAGAAGTGGCCGGAAGTTAAAAATTACGAAAAGGAACGTGGTTGTAGATCTCGTTCCACTGTCAACTCATAAATTTACTAGATTTGAAATCATAAGTAAATGTTCATATTTATTAAATTTGGCAATTATTAATAATAATTTCAATGTCAATTTGCATGGGAAACGTTTGTAACTTCCGGATGGTTACTCTAAGCATCCTAACCGAGGATATACATCAGAATGGACATTATGCAGACCGAAAGAAGGAGAGAGAGAATATGGGGGAGGAAGGAATGAAAGAGAAGAAGAGAAGAGGGAGGGAAGAGAGAAAGAAAGAAAGAGAGAAAAAGAAAGAAAGAAAGAAAGAAAGAGAGAGAGAGAGAGAGAGAGAGAGAGAGAGAGAGAGAGAGAGAGAGCTAGAAAGAAAGAGAAAGAGATAAAAAGAAAGAAAGAGAAAGAGATAATAAAAAGAGAGAAAATTTAAGAAAGAAAGACATCAGTAAAGAGAGAAAGAGAGAGTGAGTGAGAGAACAAGAAAGAAATAAAGATCAAGAAAGAAAGAGAAAGTGAGAGCGAACTTAATTCTGCAAAACATGTTGCGATGTCATTTATGGTGAAATTTTTGAACAGAAATGGGCTTAGTAGAGAGGGTTGATGAATAAACTGAGGTGGCAAGAAATGGGTAAGATGTTACATATCCCAATTTGGCAATTTGATCTGCCCACTAAGGAATCCGATATCCATCGATTGCAGGTTGTCAGTTATCTTTCAGCCATAAACGGCTTATCGTGCTTCACCCTTTTCGCCAATTGGGTAACTAACTACCTCTACGCCATAGACTACCCGTTTTTCCGTGCAGTTGTCCGGCTGTGCAGACTTGGCGAAACGTCGCGGCTCCAAAACGCTCGCCCTGGAACGTTCTAGGCCGACGAGCCTAGCGTATGACGATATTAAAAGGTGCGAGCGTGGGCGTCGGAGATTGAGTCAGCGGATCGTAGTGGGGATTCGTAAAAATGTCAAAAGTCCAAAAGAGAGAAAACAAGAAGAGGGAAAGGTGGTAGTTTGGTAGTGGGAATGTAGTGCGTGGGGAGTTAAGAGGCGTTGGGTGACGTAATATGTGCATGCGCACTGCTCCGCCCCTCTTCTCGCTTCGTCAGCCGAGTCTATTTAAATCCATTTGTGGCCTCGCCTTGCAGATCAGTCGGTGTTTCACTCTCGTTTCAAGTCTTGTTCGAATTCTTGTATTCGTCCTCGTCCGTTTTCCAATTCTCGAATAATTTCGATATTGCGAGAAGGTTCAGCTCTCAAATCTCGTTTACATGGCTGACGGTGGTGTTAAGAGAAACATCCCAATCAAGTTGGGCGAATTTAGCGTCTTGGACACGGAATTCAGCAACATCAGGGAAAGGTTCGACGCTGAAATGAGAAAAATGGAAGACGAAATGACCAAATTCAGATCCGAACTCATGAACAGGGAATCCAACTTTTTCAAAACGACCACCAGGTAAGAACATCGCAACATTTACAAAGTATAATCAATTCAGATTTATTTATAAATAGATCTCTCGGTTTGTCTGTGAATGTGTGTGTGTGTGTGTGTGTGTGTGTGTGTGCACGGAAGAAAGTGTGTGTGTGTGTGTGCACGGAAGAATTATAAATAGCCGTCGCGGCCGCACCCCACACTCGCATTATTTGCCACATGCATGCGGCAGGAACGTTTTTCTTTAACCACGTCTAAATATATCGAGGTGGGGAAAAACCGACCCGGCGAAGTAAAATTGTTTATGATTGAGTATACACATCAATTCAATAATTTGAAAAGGATAATTCCACTCACAAACTGTTTGAGAACTATCCTTTTTCAACTATTGACCTACTCGCAGACTGTGTGAGAACTATCCTTTTCATCTATTGAACTACTCGCAGTCTATTTGAGAACTATCCTTTTCAACTATTGATCTACTCGCAAACTGTTTGAGAACTATCCTTTTCAACTATTGAACTACTCGCAGACTGTTTGAGAACTATCCTTTTCCACTATTGTCCTACTCGCAGACTGTTTGAGAACTATCCTTTTCCACTATTGTCCTACTCGCAGACTGTTTGAAAAGTATCCTTTTCAACTATTGACCTACTCGCAGACTGTTTGAGGCCTATCCTTTTCAACTATTGTCCTACTCGCAGACTGTTTGAGAACTATCCTTTTCAAATATTGACCTACACGCAAACTGTTTAAGAACTATCCTTTTCAACTATTGCCCTACTCGTAGACTTTATAAACTATCCCTTTAAGACTAGTGTCCCGGAGAACTTTTTAAGATCCCAAATCGACTGTCGACGTTTCTGAAAACTGAACATTTTCAATAAACCGACCGTAAAACGTCGAACATACTTTGCTGTGTTAGTAAGTTACTGCGACTTGTTACTTCTTCAATAGTGTGAAAAAATAACCCTATTCACAAACTCTTTGTGAACTGTCCTTTTTCAACTGTTGATCTATTCACAGGCTGTTGGTGAAGTATCCCTTTTGAGAAGTTTCAAAGATCCCAAATCGATTGTCCACTTGTCTGAAAATTGGAAAATTTTGAATCAACCTGCCTTCAAACGTCAAACATAATTTTATATTTATTAAATTACTTAGACTTCTTACCGAGAGAAGTAAAAATAGTTATGATGGAGTTTAAAATATTAGTTCAATAGTTTGAAAAGATAATCCTATTCACAAACTGTTTGTGAATTGTCCTTTTCAACTATTGACTTACTCACAACACTGTTTGCGAACTATACCTTTTCAATCATTGACCCGGAGAAGTTTGAAATATACCAAATTGACGACTGGACTGAAACTGAAAATTTTAAATAAACCAACGAGCTTTTTGGTCAGTGTTGTGCGAAAAATTAACCACAATCGCCATCACGGTCCTGCTTAAGTATTGTTAATCAGAAACTTAAAACAAATTGTACGTGCGCAAAAATAATACTGAAGGTTGATATCAATTATATCGTTATATTGGCTAGCGAACTTCATTCTGGAACAAACTGGAAGATTTTGGCGTGCGAGGGAGCTCCAGTTTCTAACGAAATTGTGATATTAAAGGCCGCAATTATATCGTGATAAAAACATTGTACATTGCATTGAATAAATAGATCTACAACACTTTTTTTGGTGACAAATCTCCACTTTTTCTGCTTTTATATTCTCGTCGTCAAACATTAAAGATTTGTCTTTGTGAATTACTGTGAGGGCCAACGGGGAGAAGTAAAAATGGAGTAAGTATATCAAATAATACATAAAAAAAATTCTACTCAGTTCGTGAACTATTCTTTTCAACAATTGACCCTCCAAACTGTTCGTGGATTGTCCTTTTTCAACTATTGACCTTCTACTCACAAACAGTCTGTGAACTATTATTTTAATCATTGACGCGGAAAAGTTTGAAAGATCACAAATCGAAAACTCGAGTAGGTCTTTCTGATGTCAATCAACAATGAGAATTAATAATAAAAGTTTAAAAAAATATATATGGTGGGGGGGTCACAAATCTTTACTTTTTCTATTTTTATATTTACCTCTTCAGTTACAGTACTGTGTTTATAAGTTACCACGAGTGCAGACTCGGAGTAGAAAAATGATGACGATGGAATGATTATATCAGTTCTACAGTTGACAAGGTTAATTTGTGACGGTTTATGAGTAGTACTATCCTTTAATAATTGACCTACTAAAACACTGTTCGTGAACTATACAACTATTGAACATTCACAAACTGTTTGTGAGTGGAACTATTATTTTTTTTACTATTGAATTGATATACTCACTTCATCATAACCAATTTTACTTCTCCGGGTCTGAATTTACATAAGTTGCAAACCCAAAACTGTGTTCGACGTTTGAAAACGGGACTATAAAAATATAGAAAAAGTGAAGATTTATGACAAAAAATATAAAACAAAAACAAAAAACCTGCCCTTGTCAACAATTAACCTACTCACAAACTGTTCAAAAAGTAAAGGTTTGTAACCTTCCCCCCCAAAAAAAAGAAATAAATAAAATAAAAATTGTGAACTATCGTGTTCAACAATTGAACTCCTACTTGTAAACTGTTTGTGAACTATCCTTTTTAACTATTAACCTCTTACACAAACTGTTCCGCTCATCATAACCGTTTTTATTTCTCCACGTCTGCGCTCACAATCACTTACTAACACAAAACAGTCAACACAGTTTGGGTACGGGTCTATAAAAAAGTAGAAAAAGTAAAGATTTGTGTCCTGATCAAAAACTGACCTCCTACTCACAAACTGTTTGTGAACTATCCCTTTCAACTATTGACCTTCTACTAATAAACTGTTTGCGAGTAGAACTATAATTTTCAACAATTGTCGGAGAAGTTCCAAATATTCAGACAAGTCGACTGTCGACTTTTCTGGAAATTTTGAATAAACCGGCGAGCTTTTTGTGTCAGGGTTGAGCGAACGAATGTTCTACCATTAACACCACGGTTGTGCGAATGTTGTTAATTAGCGCCTTAAAAAAGAAAAAAAAATATCTATGCGCTCGGCACTTTTACGTTTTGACGCCTTCTGTCTAATAGTTCTTGTAAACGATGCCTGTTAGTTTAACTAAGCGACGCTAATCTCGAGTCAAACTTTCGTTTAAATTGAACAGATTTCTTATAAAAAACATTTAGACTCTGAATTGACTTTTCCGTGTTCTGTTTGTTTCATATATATAAACTTCAAAATCGCAATCTTGAAAAAGTATTGTTTTTTGAGTTATCCACTTTTGGCCCCGAGGGTTTCGAGCATCATTCTTGGCGAATAGGATGTTTTGGATTCCGTCCGACCGACGGACGCCGATTGGAATTCGCCGTCTTGAATCCATTTTAATTTTAAAGACTTTCTTAGATGGGCTGAAGTATTTTTAGAAGAGGGAGGAATGCGATGCCCACTAGGAAAAATATAGAAACGGCATCTACGCCGGTTGACGTGGATTACAAATTAAAAAAAAAATCTTTTTATCTGATCTTTTCAGTTTTTTAAAGTGGGAAATGGTTAAGTATGTAAATATGGCATTAAAACTAATGGCACAAGTGTCTCAAGACAAACAATGACTGTTTTGCACAATGCATATAAAACACATTCGTAAAAAAAAGCGAAGATGGAAATAAACCAAAGTTTACAAATGCAAAATTGTACTGGCTGTTTTTTGTAAACCAAAGTAGAAAAATCTTCTAATAGCACGTGCTGATAGAAGGTCTATAAATATAAAATTGTCTTCACTAATGCACTTATAATTATAATACAAAGTTGTGTACAAGTGGTGTAATACAAAACAGGTGTTAAACCCTTTGTTTACAAATGCAGAGCATGAATCCGGTTTAATCCGCATCTCATTCCATGGACAAATGAAGGATTTTATGCTTCAAAGGACTCCGAAAATATCATGAAGTCGGGGGTCCGTAAATCCATTGCACCTGTTAAATATACTCACATAGCGAGTGATTATCATATATATCCGAACGTAATAAAATTATTGTCTCATTTGTAGAATCTTTTGATTGGACCCCGAGAAATATTGAGAAGGTCGGGGGCCAAGCTCTGATTCTACTCTGTTCTTTATTTTCTTTCTCACCTGGTTCTATTTCGATACTGAAGGTTGTCGGGTAAATTTGGTGTGTAAAGTTTGGTGAGGGGGATCGTTAAAAGGAAGATAAGTGATATCGAGCAGAACTGCCGTGCAAGTAGACTGACGTGGATATAAATCGTTATCGCCATAGGCTTTATTATCGATGAAGTCAGATTATTAAAAAAAATTATATCTTTCCGTGCTCGACACGGCTGGTGGAAAACGCCCATAACAAAAAATTTCCCATCACACAAATAATTATTTAGCAGGCCAAATGTAAAAGTTGAAAATAACTAATACGCTTGACAATTTGGAAGAAGTTTGGAATTTGGGAACGGTGAGAATCGAACCCGGGAACCTTACAGTGATGAGTCGCCTTGGTCAAGGTTCTAAAAAAACTATAGTTCTTCGTGAAAAGTCTTTAAGCCTTTTAAGGAACAGTTTCTTACGGGAGAGTTCGTAGGTTAATTAATTTATCCTTTAAGGCGAAGGGGAAGAAAAAAAAAACGATTTTACGGCAAAGTTATTTCTTTTGAGGAATAGTTCTTCTTTAGGACAGTTTGATTTATTGAGCTAGTTCCGTGGACTAGTTCGAACGAATTAAGCAGTTTGTGCTTTATGGAGAAGAAAAAACAAACTGTTACGATTTTAATACTAATTAATTTTGAAATTAATTACTATTTTATTTGGTTACTATTTTGATCGGGACTTGGAAATTATTGTTATATAATTCACAAGGTTGACAAATATGGTCTACTTACTACATTGAAACATATTATTTCAAATATAGTTTTTTTTTTGCTTTGCCAATCGTCCCAGTCATCTATACTGATAGCCGAGGAAAGGATTTAGTGTATCCGCCCCCGCATAACGTG